TCTGGAGCGCATCAACGATCAGAGATCTGCGCTTCTCAGCTCAAAATAATACCCGGAGAGTCCACAAAGATAATGTAATATAATTAGAACCAGGACCTTTTTTGGGCTCCCCTTGGGTGTTGAAGTTGAGGGGTTCCAGGGGAGCCTGTCATCCTTGGGGGTGAGCCGGGCTCCCTTTAGCTCACCCGTAATTCGGACCCTGCGTATAGCACAAGTTGGTTGCATGAGTTGCCGGAACCCAGCAGACAGTTGCTGGAATGGTCCTTTCAAAATAAGACAGTTCCCGGATCTTGTTCCGGCAAGATCCAGCTCAAATTGAGCACTGCTCACACCACACACATTTACGCTTCTGAGATGATTACTATCCATAGCATATCACCAAACAAATACACATTATCATTGGCCGGACCTACCTCACCCTCCATCGCCTAAGCAGCAGAGAAACTGCTTCTGTGGACCAGCCCTACTGTCCCAGTACAACCGACTGGATCGGTCTGGCTGAGATCCATGGGGACAAGTCCTGCTTCTTTCCACCAGGCTGGCGTGGTACCCCTCAGGGTGTTGGCCCCCAGTCCACATATTATATAAACTCTTAAGCTAGTTCTCTCAGTCAAAATGTCAAAATATGACAGGTCTCAGGCATAGTTTGAGATATTTTTGTTTGTTTGGTATTACTGGCCTAATGTAAATTGAAGTGGTTTTGATGTTTTGCACAGATAACGTTTAAGGTATCCATGATGGGAGATATGATGTTAGTTATCTAGAATGATTTAGTTTTTTTATGAGGAGGAGACCCTGCATATACTGACATTTGTTTAAATCTATATTGGTATGCTGACATCAAACATCCCTAGTTCCAACAAACAGAAGATTCTCTTCCATTAAATCCACAGGTTCTACTGAGCACTCTGAATGTAGAGCCAGGTGTCAGTGAAAATAAAATCACAATCTTTTTATTTTGCATACTGTGTTTACCAGCAGCAGAATACATAATTTATCTTTTTTTTCTCAAAGAACGATGCCATCACAAAACTCTGTTATGTCATTTGGCTGTAAAGCAAGCTCAGATACTGGGTCTATTGCCACATTTCCTCCTGGCCTACCTGTCATGATGTGGTGTGGGTGGCGGCGGACCATGTGTGGTGGAGCTGACCAGGAGGCAGGAATGCAGGCACGGATAAAAATAAAAATTGATTTAATGACAGGATACGGCAGGAAACAAGTCACAACACAACAAACTAACAATGATCCGACACTGACACATACAAGACTGGAGGTATAAATACACAGGGAAACAATCAGGAACACATGGGCAGGTTAACAAGGGGCAGGTGAGACCAATAAACAGCTAATCAGGGGCAGGAGTGTAGGAGTCAGAGGGAGGTAGGAGCAAATCATGACAGTACACCCCCCCCCCCCCCCCCCCCCAGGGGCGGATACCAGATGCCCACAAGAACCACATACTCAGAAGACACAGGGACTCAGGAGACTAGGGAGACTTGGGAAACACTGGAGACTCGGGAACTTGGACACTTGGAACTTGGGAACTTGGACACGGGACACTTGGACACTGGAACTCGACAGCAGCAGGCGCGGGACACTGGAACTCGACAGCAGCAGGCGCGGGACACTGGAACTCGACAGCAGCAGGTGCGGGACACTGGAACTCAACAGCAGCAGGCGCAGGACACTGGCACTCAACAGCAGCAGGTGCGGGACACTGGAACTCAACAGCAGCAGGCACAGGACACTGAAACTCGACACTTGGACACTGGACACTCGGGAACTGGAACTCGGACACTGGAACTTGGGAACTGGAACTCGGGAACTAAGATACTGGAACCTGCAGCAGCAGGCGCGAGACTCTGTAGAGGATGCAGCGGCGGGACTCTGTAGAGGCTGCAGCGGCGGGACTCTGAAGAGGCTGCAGCGGCGGGACTCTGAAGAGGCTGCAGCAGCGTGGAGGTCCTGGAGGGGCAGACCCTGCAGATGAAGACCCTGCAGGTGAAGACCCTGCAGGCGTAGATCCTGCAGGCATAGGCCCCGCAGGCGTGGACCAGGAAGTAGATGTACTGAAGGCAGCGACTCGAGGAAACCAGGAACGGCAGCAGGTACTCGACAATGGTCAGAGCAGGTGCACATCATGATCAGCTGCGTCACAGGCGGAGGCTTGGGTGAAGGGAAGCAGAAAAAGAGCAGGGAGACCGTCCCTACCACTCCAGAGAATGTTGGCGTGCGTAGGGGGTGTCACTCCACCAAAACTCCAGTATCTGCAGCTTCCATGGAAAACAGGACGGGGCAAAAAGCAGGAGAGGAGAATGGGTTCGATGACCCCGGGAACAAGTAGGATGCGCCAAAACCCCCTCAATGGGTCCGACCACCCCGGAAACAGGTAGGATGTGCCGAAACCCCTCGAGTCAGAATCTCCTTCCACTGGAAGGAGACAAACCAAAAAACAAATAATCCTCCAGGCAGATGTTATAGCTCACCACAGGTCCAGGTGGGTCGGATCATTCTGTCATGATGTGATGTGTCACTCGTCGGATCATTGTCGTGTGTCGTATGTTGTCGTTCCTACTGTATCTTCTACCATTAAATCCATTTTACTTTATCTGAGCCTGCATTTCTGCCTCCTGGTCCGCCGCCACCCACACCACATCATGACACTAGCGCTTCTGCGGTCAGCTTGCAGACTCTACTGTACAACTCCTCTGTAACAGGAAGTCTACTCTCCTCCTTAGGCTGTTGCAGTCATTAGAGTTGTTAATAAAACAAGTGTGGATTTGTTTATTCATTTAGTTATTTGTATTTTGTAATCTTTTGCAACATGTTACCTGTAAGATATGGATTGTATACTAAATATTGGAGTCTGAGCAATCTGCATAGCATTCCTTTCTACTGAGAAGAAGAGAGATAGACTCACTCTCTAACACATTTGCACATATTTGAGCATCAGCAGAAAAATAGAAAGTCTAAGAGGTGCCAGACTGAAAGGCAAAGAAGATAATGCTCAAAACAAAAGCAGCTCCTGGTTGAATATCATTCTATCTGATGAGACAGCAAATCACTCTGGAAATTTTATTCAGAGAAACTTGTGACACAAATAAAGAGTCGGTTATAATAGCCGTGTTTGGTCTGGTAGATGATAACAGGCCAGCGAGGGGCGAGACAGCCAGGTGCCGAGCAGACTGACAATAACTGAGTGAACCGCCTCAAGCCATAATTTTACAGATCTGTCTCTTTGATCTTTGACAGCTTTAAAGTCCCTCCTGGTTGAGAGAAATCCTTTGTCTAAAGAGGGAGAGTTTGACCCCTGAAGTCAGGATTGTTTAATCTCTCTGCTCTCATAATGCCCGGTTGACGCGAGGATGTCGTGCACCACGTACACTGCAAGACAAAAAAAAAGAGAGAGCACGAACCCTCTCCCCTCACACAAGGGTGGCTGTGTTGCCATGGCAACCCACCCTACAGCTGTCAAGTGTTCATCAGTTTCCACAGCAACACCATAAGGTAGAGACAGTAGACAATTATTCCCAACATAACACAGTTGAGAGGGTCTAATAGAAGTCGTATTAGGTCAAATTACCCTGCTGCAGACGTTTAGAAGAGACAAAGATTATGACCATCTGACTGGGACAAACCTGGGCTTTGCTTGATGATTTGGCTAAATTAGGCAGATAAAATGCAGAGATAACGTTTCAGGGTAATTACTCAAATCTCACAAGATCTGTCTGATAAGAGCCAAAAAGAGTCCTAAAGTACTCAAAGCTTACAACATAAAGTTAATTCAGGAGAGGAAACAAGTTCCTACATTGTTTACTTTCTTCACTCATAATAATACCAGTATTACTAACCAAATGGAACGCAAATATTTTTTATCTTACTTCTGATTTCAGCTAGTAGAAGGTAACCATTAGTGGCAGCGACTTCACCACACGGCAGAACTCCTTCAAACTTGTGTTGTTTGTGGAGATAAAACATACACGTTGCAAGTCAGTAGAAGAGTCGCATTGCTGTTATCCAATCTGGGGCGAGATGTACAAATATCAGGAAATAAGTCATCTGAAGCTCAGCAGTTATGTTGCTCATTTCTAGTTCCTGGAAATGGTGCACTGGTGCTGGTAAACGAATACAGCCTCAACAATAGTTCCAAGCACAATTCTCTAAGAATGTAAATAAAAAAAAAAACAGATGATTGGAGCTACCATGGGACTGTGGAGCAGGAAACATGAGTTTTTACTAAGATCAAATGAGTGAACTAAATCTTTTAGCCTTTAAGCTAAATATTAAAGTTTCAATAAACAGTAGGACACATCTGCTGGTGGATGCAGTGGTGTGTAAAAAGTATACGTCCTCCTTGTTAAATCATGAAACATTACTTTAATAAACCCGTCTGAGGTAAACCAAAAGATCTCAAAAAGCAAAATATCCTTGTTCTGACGGGATTCAAGACCAAACAACATCTTCATTTCTGCACGCCTCACAAAGCACAGAACTGATGTGCATGAGTGCCACCATACACTCACCTACAGGCAAGGAGTATGAAACGCCTTGCCCAAGGACACAACGTCAGAATGACAAGAACGAGCTGGATTTGACCCGCCAATCCTCGAATAATTAGATGACCTGCTCTACCTCGGCTACTGCTGTTACAGGACATGGATGACTTGCGCTAATTGATGAAACCAGGAATTCTGGTCTCTGCCGGAAAATCCTGAAGCACGATGGTCGGATAAAAATAATTCAGCCAATAATAATGAGACAAACTCATAAAACCAGTCATCACAAATGCTTGATTGCAAGTGTTGCTGCCAAGAGTGTTACATCCAGTTATTATATTCAGGGAAAAATTACTTTTTTACACAGAGCCTAGCTTGTTTTGGATAATTTCCTTTAATTAATGAAACATTATTAGAAAACAGTTCTTGTATTTACTCTGATGATCTTTTTAAATAAATAAAAAACAAGTTCTCTCACAAGAAGTTTCAAAGGTCACCTACCTGGGTCAGTGGCTGACATAATGGCGCCAAACAGGAGGCAGTCAGTGAGGGAGTATTCTCCATCTGCAGCTTGTCTCGACAGCACCATGAGTCTGGTGAAGCCGTAGATGCAGGCGCTGGTACAGAACAGATGGAGGGAAACACACTGTGGTCATCAGGGAGTGCAGGCAGGTGCAAGCCTATCAGTTATCACGCTACATGCAGCAGGGTTTCCTCCCCCCCATAGTGGTCGGGGTAATGGGGCAGGATGCAGCTAGCAGGTGAGCTGACCCCTTTTCCAGGCAGCAACTGACCTGACTCACTCGTATTCTTGTGAGAGGAAGCCATCCTACTTATGTCAATACATACTGTGGCCACGACCCATAGATAGAGCTGAGTTGTAGTGGTGGTCTCCGCATGCTATTGGCCAGTGCTAGGACCATGTGGTGTAGTCATCTCTATGGAAACTGGTCAATGGGGAATATACTGTCCTTTTCTGAATTTAAGGACCCATGTATCGTTTTTGCTCTGTCCAAGCTCTGCAGTCATCGTAAAAAAGAAAGAAGCCTGCCCAACATCCCTCTACAAACACTGAGCACACATTAGCTTCGGTTAGCTCGTAGCTACATTGGCTCAGAGATAGATGGGTTTCAATTATCTGCCCCCACCCTTAAAACGCCACTCTCAGCTCCGTTTTTGTATAACAGGAGTGACGAGACTTGTGACAGGGCCAAGCTGGCGAAGGTAAGAACCGCCCACTGGGCTTCACACAGAAAACCTACAGGTGACAGCGTAGAGGGTTTGTGGATATATTTCAATGGGCTAGACCAACCTGCCAACCTGCAGAGCTTTTTGTTACTACTGCTAGTTTGTCTTGACTTCTAGGCTACCCAGACTGCCCTCCATATTTATCCCTTCAACAGCATCTGTTTTAGAACAGTGACACCCAATTCAGTTTACTCAGTTACCTGAAAACGAAGCACTGAAATAAATCTGAAATCTAACTTTTCCATTCAGCTTTCAACACTTCAGCTCCTAAAAGCCAGCAGCGGTGTGTTAAGTACTAACCTAGTTAGCGGAGACACATCCCATAATAATCAATATGCCTCCGTGTCCTCTGGGGAACCTTTCCGTCCAGTTGAGTAACTCCGTTACCATGGTGACGGCACACAAACCCGTCCCTGCAGCCGGGATTTAAAGCACTGTCCTCAGGTCGAGGAACTAAGCTGCCTTATTCATGTATCTTAAAGGGAGATTTGAGGTTAGGGTGAGTGTGTTTCCTTTGGGTGTGTGTGTGTCAGACCGACAGAGATGAAATGAGACAAGCACACAGTGGAAGACACAGCAAGGATGGGCTTTGGTAACCGAGTCACTTAGGTTCCCCTCAGTCTCTGGTTCTTTACCAGTATCATGTGACACAAGCTAATAAGTAATAAAACTGACCAGGGCTGCAGGAATGACACCAAGGTTATTAATTATCATAAAGGATACTAAAACGGCCTCAGATTCAAAATTGTCACAATTGTTCATGCAAATATTATTTTATAAGCCTTTAGAATGCCACCCATTTTGAATTTCATGGTCATTTTGGCAGATCACAAAAACAATGCTGGATTTGGACCTAGATGAACCAGAAATGCCTAAATGGCCGTTTAGGGTGGATTTACTATGTGAGCTCTGCAAAATGGCCAAAATATCCCCTTAAGGTCCAAAAGAGCTTCCTCGTAACAAAATAATAGAAACACTTTTTACAGACTGTTTTACAGACCATAAACCCAGATATTTGCAATTAAAACTCTTAAAACTTTACTTTCGGTTGTTTAATTGTTTCAGAACCATTAAACACTGCAAGGATGATAATTAAGAGTAAGCTAAAACTGCCTCATGTACCTTAAGGAAGCACCAGCAGGACATTCATTTAATTGTATACAGAGATGTAGTCTAATTGTACTCAGGTCTTATTGTCTCATAATAAAGTTGCAGAACAATTTACACATTTGTGCATCCTGGAACTTTTTCTGCCAGGTATGCATTCTGGCTTTAGCTGCAGCAAGCATTCTTAAATGTATGTGTAACTGTCATTTTGATAAGTAAATGGCTTTGTAAACCTGTGTTTGCTATTATGGATTTGATGCAATCAGCATACTGTTATTATTATAATGCATCATTATTTCTTAAAGGCAATTAAAATATAAAATATAAATAATGTGGGCTAAAAATAAAATAATACATTTTCACTAATTTCAAACAATCAGGAGATGGTTTTCTGTTTGCAGTCTCATTTGCTTTATAATGGTCTTAATACAGTTTAAAGCTCAAGAGCGCCATCTAGTGTCCACAGGCTAGATTAGCAACATCTCTGCAGCTTCTTCCCCTCACAGATCTACTTAAGAGCACCGGCAGCTTAAGTCAAGGAGCTGTGATGACCTTGTATTGTCTCTGGTAGAGCTCAGCACACAGCAGAGAGTTTTACTTGTGTCGTAATTCATCACGGTGCCAAAAATCGCTGACGTCATTAATCTAAGCTCAGTGTGTCAACTCCAGAGCAGCAAACTTCCACATGCTGACACACCCAAACGGATTTCTGGGATACTTACACACAACATTAATTAATGTCATTAGTTGCACCTGGGCTGTTGTTCCTGCTATTTTAAGTAAAAATAAAAGCATGAATAATAACGTGCAGATGCAAAAACAGAAAAATGTAAACTGAAAAAATAAATAAATACAAAAATAAATGTTAAAATGATAAAAATATCCTTGTGTTTGCTGCATCTTTTGCTTTATTATTTTTTATTATTCTTTATTTTTCCCACCTGCTTTTTGCACTTTTTGATCTTCAACATTCAACAAGTGGCGTCGTCTATGAATGAAGCTATTCCATAAATAGTATTTGACTAATTATTATACGAATAGCGTGCTTTATCAGCCAAAAATAAACAAAAACTGACTTATTCACAAAGCATTAATATAGTGGTAAAGAATAGAAAACATTATGGTTGTGATAAAGCGTATCCCTGATATGAAATGTGTAATATTCACCACTGTTGTAGAAAAGTCAGAACAAAAAAATATTTTAAATAGAAACACGGGCGTCCTGTCTGAGCCAGGTTCATTAACGGTCCCAAATACAAGAAAATCTGTTCGGCGGACAAATGAAAATAGTTCTTTTCATGTACTTCAACTATTAAAGGAGAAATATTATGCTAAACTAATCTTTTGCCTTTGTGCTTCAATGCGGTTCTCTACTGCCTATATAAACAAACATAAAAAAACATTCATCTGTTTTCTGTCCATGTTTGGTTTTAGGAATTATGTCCCTAAAACAAGTTGTTTTCAACAAGTCCTCATTTGTGACATCACAAAAGGGAAACGTAAAACAGAACTACCTCTCACATGTTGGAGAGAGCTGCTGTTGGAGGAGCAGCAGCTCTACTCCGAGCCCTTGCCGGATATCTGAGCGTCTTAGCTTATAGCAGCCTGAATGAAGAGTGGGTGGGCTTGGCCAGCTCCAACTTGTTTTTGTAAAGTGACAGAGCCCTGAAACGGCTCATTTTGGAAGGTACTGAAAATGTCATGATAAAATTGCTGAAATCACTGAGAGGGATTTTATGCAGAAACTTGGTAAACATGTATTTATAGATCATAGAACTATTATAATTTAAGAAACAAAGTCATAATATTCCACTTGAAGGTAATTTAGAAATTGTAGAAATGGAAAATCAAACAACAAATTTGTATAAAAGAGCAGAATACTTACCCTATGCACATACAGCTGATCAAGGTACCCAAAAAGGCGTAGGTGAGAACAGAGCCCAGATTCTCAACTAGTTGCTTCTAAAGCACCAATTAAAAGAAAGATGAAGTCAGGAAAACACCATTAAGCAACCAGGACCAGTGCACGGCACATCTGTGTCATTTAGCGGTGTGAAATCCCAAAGGGATGTGCGTTTTGTATTCTGGGAGGGATGCTGGGACAGCATTCTCACCTGATTTAGGGTGTACGCTCCGTAGAAGATGATGGTTGGCAGGAAGAGATCGAAGAGGACCTGGGGATCAAAGTTCTCCTGTAAAAGACAGAGCTGTTTAGGTGATGGTTGACAGGGATCCGCTGGGAGGGTGAAGCCTTCGTTTACCGACTGAATGACAAGTCTGCACACACGCACACACACACACACACACACACACACACACACACACACACACACACACACACACACACACACACACACACACACACACACACACACACACACACACACACACTCACCTTTCTTGAGTCTGACAGGCATGTTTTCCTTCACTTGTCAGTTTCCAAATGTTCGTCTTTCCTACATAAAAATAATTCTATCCATCCACGTCGTCAGGTAGAATTCAGCTGAAATAAATATGTGGTGCTGAATATTTTACCAATGTGGAAGTTTAAAAAGCACCCATGCAACACCCAAAGTCACATGTGCCAAAAAATTAATTCCTAACCTAATGTAAATGACGTGAATATTTTTATAATAATCAAATAAAAATGTTTCAATGACATTATCGGTACAGTACTCATATACTTGTGATTATATAGGTCCTTTTTCTTTTCAGCATCAACTAAAAGGACATCACTCTTTATTCATCCATTTATATTTTTTATAGTAGAACATGTCATTCTGCACATACAGCTGCAAAAACAGCCAAACGGTGTATTTTACAATTAAATTAAATAAATTACAGATAATATGTAATTATAATGTTTTTAAATTGTCATCTGATATATTTTGTCATTACACACTCTTTTTTCACACTTTTTTAAAATTAAGATGACTGGAGCTGCTTTAAGATGGCAGCCAAACAGGTTCTTGGTTGAGCTCAGACTAGCAGTTACCTCATCATCCGACTGTAATTTCTATTTCCCCAAACAGTGGCTGTTCAGGAAGCCGTCTACAACATGTGGTCATTTTGAATAACATAGTAGAACACTTAAAGGAGAGATATTGTGACATTTTAAAGTTATAATAGTTCTATGGGCAATACAAAATATATTTATGACGTTCTTTACATTAAATCCCTCTAACAAGAGGTGATAAGAGCTGTTTTACACTTTTAATACCTTCCAGAATGAGCCATTTCAGGGCTCTGTCACTTTAAAAAAACAGCTGGATCTGGCCACGCCCACCCATCCTGTAATCAAGCTGCTAAGCTGAGAGGCTCAGATATCTGGGAGGCGCTTGGAGTAGAGCTGCTGCTCCTCCACCAGCAGCTTTCCAAAATGAGAGGTTGCTCTATTCTACTTTCCCCGTTTGTGACATCACAAATGAGGACTTTCTGAAATGGCTTGTTTTAGTCACATAATTACTAAAACCAAACACTGCCCCCCCCCCCCCCCCAAAAAAAAAAACAGGCTTTTTATTGTATATTTGGAGTTTGTGTGAGGCAGTAGAGACCAACAAGGCAGCACAAATGGATGCCAAAGGTGAGTTTTGCATAATTTGTCCCCTTTAATTACTGTTGAAGTCTCCTCTGAAAGGCTTTTTCCTGCTTTTGACTTAGCTTGATTTGGTGTACTGATTTGCTGTGTGTGTGTGTGTCGTGACTTCACACAGCTCAACACAAAATGAGAAGGGAAGTTGAGACCGTTTATTCAGAAAGTCTCAAACTTATGACAATAACGTTAAAATCGTTTTACAATAAAGGAGAGCGAATGTCTCTATGTTCCATGGCCTCTGTCCATACTTAAACCCAGCTAGGTGAAGCAATGCACACCTCTATGAAAGCTAGCCTTCCGTTCACCAAACCTATTATGTTGATTGTGAGTCCGTTTCTTAAAAATGGCAAATTAGAATATTTTTCCAGATTTGATCATCTCAAAAAGGCAAATTTTTGCTCAAAATACATGGCCTGTGACAATTTAATTGAGTCTAAATGGTAAGAGATGCTCAACACAGACCTTTCAGAAAAGCCTTCATTTGCCTTAAAGGAAAAGTTAAAACAATAATAGAAACTTGGATGCATAAAATGAGAGCCCAGCCCCTATAAAAGTCTTATTTCCACTACATGCTGCATTTTAGTGGATATTTCCCCAAGTGAATTAGTGAATACATGTAAAACTGCATGTTGTGTAAATTACTGTATAAATCTAAAAGACCCCCCTATAGAGATGGAGAGCACTCGTGCTTTTTCACTAATTCAACATTTGAACCAGTAGCTAGAGCTACAAATTGCTCTGCTCCCAGAACATGGCTGTATATAAATTACTTTTTGTGACTGCAATTACCCACACTGCACAATTTCAATGCATTCTTTTATTCCATACAGGAAGTGTGCGATAAACACAAAACTAATACAGACTCTGCAATCAATAAATTATGCATATCTTGGTAGTTTTATTTTTAAGGGCCACCTGCACCAGTGAGTTGACGGCGGAGGTGTGTTGTATGCTCTAATTGCCTCTTCAGCTGAGCAGCACTAAATTTAATCAGACCACAAACTTTAATGCTGGGCTCCCCAGTGGCGCATAATGGACTCTGTAATGCAATGAAATCCTTATCTCCCTCTGCAAGCTCCCTATATGTATCAGGCCTAATGGCTGGAAGGCTGCACACGACCTGACCGATGTAATAGCCTCTGTGGTAGCCTCTCCTGGTTTGCTAATGAGACCCCGGCCTTCACAATCGGCCAAAAGAGTCGAAGCCATTAGTGAAGAGTTACACTCGGCCTGGATTGTTTGCAAAGTTCACCACTTGCTTTCTCCTGGGTTGAAATATCACCCAAAGATGAAACAATAAACTTCCAAACGCACTTTATATTCTCTTGTGTTGGTTGGTAGAATGCTGGCTGAAGTGACAGGGCTTGTTTTGTTTTGTGAGTCTAATGGAGGTAAAAATCTCTGATCCAACCACTGAAATGTGGAAGGAAGCTAGAAAAAGAGAAATTATGTAAACCACAAGCAACCTCAACACTCTTATGGAGTAAACTACTTATCAAAAAAGCAAGTGATGATAAAAATCTAACTTTTTGATGGTTACCACAGCTAATCAGCCCTAGCAAAAAAAAAAAAAGGCCATCTTATAGTCAGCTGTACACACTCTAGGCTAAAATGTGGTATATACAATATATAATGTGCGAAATATATCACAATACGATATGATATGCGATGAATATATCACAATACTATACGATGTGCAATATATATCACAATGCGACATGATGTATTGTGATACAAAAAGCCAGATGATTTAGCAATTTTTAAAACAGAATTTAGATAGAAAACTCAAGCCGGACGCTTCCAAAACACATCCAGTGTTATCGCGAGATCTTGTTTCGTCAGAATGAAGACAGTAAAAGTTGCTGCCACCTAGCAGTTGGAGTTTGAATTGCACCACACACAAACATAAATACAGCAAATGTTTGCATGTAAATTCTCAGTAAATAAATCAACACTCTGCTTTTAAATATTGATTAGGTATCATAACAGAAAATATTGTGATATTTACCAGTATTTTCTTACTAACTTAATGTGACACATAACTAACACGCTGTTAAAAGATTTCAAAATATCTTGCAAGATTGTGCTTGACATCTATTTTACAATTTGACTAAAAAAAGCTGTGATCTAATCAGAATGCCAGACATTTAATGTAATGTTTATCATTGGTTTGCAGCTCTAAGATAAATCAAAAGTCTATTGGGTAACCACCGTACTGAAGTTTCACATTTGCATTTTGCACACAACAATTTTCTAAAACAATACAAATTCTAACCTGGTGGGAATTTTTTTTTTTCAAAAATAACTCCAGCTTGTCCAACTGCTGAAAAAGTACCCATCTTTAGATTGATACGAGACTGAAAACAGATCTTGATCTCCCTGCGAGCGAAAGGCAAATGAAAGAAGAGACAAGAACATAAAGGTGCTCTCAGACGGGGTTGTTGAAGTTACTCGTCTCCAACTAAAGAGGTCAACAGCACTCGCTCGGCTTGTGCGCTTCACCTATCTATAATGCTAAGATGGTGCTCAAACCACAGGACATCCACTCGATGTTGATAAAAACATTTTGAAAACAGCTGGAGATCTCAACCAGAGGCAGTAAGACGGATCGTTGGCTTATGAAGTGTCTGAAAGGGCAGGCAGGTTAAAGAAGATCACTGCAAACGACACCTCACATATTCTTACTGGAAAAAATACTAAAAATGTCCGTCTGTCTTAGCAAAAGATTTACTTGAAACCTTCCAAATAGTTTATTTTGCCTCTAGAAATATCAAAATCTGTTTTAGAAGTAATCATCTTTACCATTTTTTATCTTTGCATGGTCTGGCGGACAGCATGCTCGTTTGTTGTTTGAACCATTTTAAATGGATTATTTAATATATATTTATACTAAAATTGCAAAATAAATGTTTGAATCACAGAAATAATCATCATTAACATATACTAACATGCAATGTATACACCACTGTGTGTTTGGTCAGGCGGAGGTGTCAATCTGAGGAGGAAAAGTGCTGCAGTGTCTGCTGAGACGTCTCCCACCGTTTCTGCAGTGCAGTTCTACGCCGTCGACAAAAGTCTCTCATTATGGGACAAGAGCATGCAAACACAATCGGAAAATTCTCTCGAGAGGACACTTTCAAGAACAAATCCATAAATTATTCACAGAGTTTTAGATTTTAGGTGCTGGACAAGCACTTTGAAGAAAATTTTAATCTAAAACCTTCTCTTCTCCAAAACAACCCTGTTTTTGTCGCTCATTGAAAAGACTTTTTGTGTTGCTTAATCTTACCCGTCTAAGTAGAGCTTTTATCTATGTGTGGTCTTTTAAATTTAATTTTCTCCAGTCTCCACAGCACACCTGAAAAATGCAATCTCCCCGATCTGTCTCTTAATAAAAGCCTAATATGGATTAAATTGCTCTTCCCCTCTTTCTCGCTGTGCCAGCACTACCTTTTATAATAACAAACAGACCATGAAAATGACCAGAAAACCCAATAATAAAGGGCCGTAGAGGATCTTGTTGATGTAAACAAATGGAAAGAACTTTTAGTGCTTCATTTTCTTCTCAAATATTGAATGTGCATGTTTTCAATCTGTATAAAAAAACACTGTTTTTATGCTCCTCAAGCGTCACAACCTGCCTATTGATGCAAAGCATTTGCTTTTTTATTTGTTCTTGCACTGAGGGTCAAATTAAATTGCCATATTTACCATGTGAGGTGCAGAGAGCAGCGAGCATCTTTGGCTAATTTGCCCAATGTGCCTGTAACAGTGCCGGTGGGATGAGGCGTTCACGGTTATGACACGAGGAGTGCTGTTCAGACCGTGACAAGTGCACACACTCCCGATGGTTTCCACATGCTCTTCTTGTTCCGACCACAAGAGCTTCACTGTTAGACCCAAAAGCAAACCTGCAAAAAATAACATTTAAAATATTGAAATGAGGAAATTTTAGAGAATTAAATCTCATTTATGGTATTTATTTATATCTAATCAAACAGATGCACAGATGTAAAAAGCCATTCACATGTGAAAAAGTATTTCTCTTCTTACAGATTTCTAGTTTTTGCTTTTTTGTCACATTTAAATAACTACAACTAATAAAAACAAAATGTTGGTTTCAGGTGATAAATACATTTATTGAAGGGAAATAAGCAACCTGGTTTGTATCGGGCAAAAAAAACCTTAGTTAAATTATGATTTAACTGTGATTAATTAGATTTTTTGGAAAGTTGAGTTAAGAGTTCAATAGCCACATCCAGGCCTGATTAATGCTATAAGTGCAGAAGAAGAAAATATCATTTCTATAGTGCCTCTCAAGATAAAAATCACAAGGCACTTAACTGAGAGATAGTTTTAATATAACTTGTCTGACATGAAATGGGCTAAATAATCTCAAAAAGCAAAAAAAATTTACAAAGTGGTACTGCAAGGGTGTCACAGGAACCCAACCAAGAAGTACTGTTGTCGGGTCTAGACTAGGGAGCGGTGTTCAGGTGGAAAATCTCTGAGTGGGGTGTGGGGTGTTGAACAAATGAGGAAATGTACGACAGAGAAGTTAGAATCGAGGAGAACCTTATCAGGATGTGTGAGATGGCCAACAGTATTGTCCAACCACAGCTTTTACCACCTCACTACTGTTCTGTTTTTTTTATTGTATTTGCGCAATATTTGTCTAAGAGAAAGTAGATAAATAATGAATAAAAGGGGGCCGAAAACTGAGCCTTGGGGCACTCCTGCAGAAACTGGAAACAAACTTGTAGAGTGGGATTTCAAAGTTTGTCGGTCCTCTGGGGCCCCCTTGTGGCCTGGTAAACCCAAGCAATTGCCTGCCCTACCCGTTGGCATACAGCACCTTTGATTTTACACAGTGAAAAGACAATTCAAGTACAAAAGAACTAGGTCATTGGTTAAGAGTAAGGTCTAAATTGATTGATATGATTCAACATAAAAGAAAGCGACAGGAGGGAAAAGAGGCATTTTCATATTATTTTGTCTGATATTGCAGCTTGTTTGATGACATACATATAAAATGAATATATCTGTATGTTTTATTATCTTGTTTAAGTTGTGTGCATTTATGGTGTGGCATGAAGAAGCCTACAACAGGATTGGGTGTGCTGGTTACGTACATTAATAAAAAGCTGAATTTTTACAAGAATATACATAAACATAAAGCAAAATTAGGCAAAAAGTTGTGACTAAAATTGATTTGTACGCATTGAGAATCCAGGAAGTGCTGCTGAGAAGTAGTTTCCGCGCTAGGGGCTACTCACCATAAAACATAGCACCTCCCGTTTCATTTATGAGTCTGTACCTGAAGTTTTTTAACTTCCACACGCTGAGAATTGTTATTAAAGCTAAGCTCACAGCGGCGAGAACAAACAACGCCGCACTGTCTTGCGTGTGCTTCCCAGTGGCCAACATCTTCAACGTCGTTAATGACACTTCTCTGAGACAAGTCGCCGCATCAACATCCGCATCAGCGGCGCTTCAGAGACCGTGTTGCCTTTCTAGGCAGCATGGAAATCTTTTCAGTCTCTTCCACATGTAGAAAATACCGTGTCTGTGTTCATTAAAAAACAACCAATAAAGTCACACATTAAATATATATTTGCACACGTTCTAATTAATGAATCATAAAAAATAAAAGTACATATATAATTTAACTACATAACATTTTGAGAAAAAAAAACCCACAAAACATCGGCTGTTCTTTGAATTTCCAGCAGATGGCGAAGTATACAAGCTAATGCACGTACAACATCACGAGACCACAATCCTCACTGTTTCAATGCGAGTTGAAATAAAATTAAGGACTGATTGCACATATTGATCGTTGCGTTCAAATCAGCAAAATTTTCTAATCTATTTTTACTATTATCACAATTAAATTTTATTTTGAAATTCCAGTTTTTTATATCAAACAATTAAGCTAAATCTACCAATTCCGCAGAATTTATTTTCAGATAAAACCCCAACCGTCTTGTTAAACACAATTACACAGATTAATTCCCGATCATATTAACATTTCTACTAACTTTGTTCTGGGGGCGGTGTTCCGAGCACATTAGGATAAACGCTTAGCAACCGCTGCCGTAAAGTGGAAGCTGATGTCGCAAAGCTGTAAAGGGGCTGGTGTGTGTTGAACAGAACCCATTGTGGTGTGGAAGAGGGGGTGAGCAGCTACGGGGACAAATAGAAGAAGACAATTCTGTGACCAAAAAGGGACTCTTAACAGGCGACGAGAAATGGACCTTAGTACGCGACACGGACGCTGTTGTCTTTTGTGACGGGGGACCGTGTTCTTCTACTCGAAAAGATCCGGAAGATGAAGAGTTAAGACTCGACATCCCAACTGTTTATTTCAGCAGCTAACAGGCTAGCTGGCTAGTAGATGTCTAAGTCCGTGTGAGTCCGCTTGATAGGGGTTTCTGTCGAGCTTCGAAGTAGCGGTTTTCCTTTAAGATAACGTTGGCGGTGATTTAAAGGACCATTTGCTCGCCTCGTGAGAAGACACAACTTTGAAGAATGATCCCCAGCTGAGTTCTGACCATTTCCATACAGAAAGACCCAGAGAGCGAAAAAAGTCCCAGGTTTGTTCCTCTGTTGTTTCTCGTCTCTTTGCAATTTCCATCGATACAACTCACCCACAAACATTAACCAGCTGAGCGAGAGTAACATCAGTCAGATTGCCTCTTTATACTTAAAACATACTTGCTTTTAAATTGTTTAATTTAAGGCACTAGATATTTGATACATTGAGCGTCACAATTGCAGTGTCAGAGATTGACTGATAGGACGAGTTCTTAATTGACCATAATTAAATGATTAGAAAACCACTTCCGCTTTATGGTGACACTGGGCTTTCTTAGTTGTGTATTTGTATAATTACTCTTTAAAAAAGTATAAAGATACCTACATTTATTTAGGCATAAATTGACTTAAAATACAAAGAGGTTTCATTTGACTCATTATGCTGATTAATTTGATTTATTCCATAAACACTGATTAAATATTAGACTGATTAAACTGCTCCAAACGGGCTTTTAACCCTGACATTCTGCTTTAAATCTTGAGCCACCCTTTCATCAAACATAGGAAAAAAATAATTAAAATGTCCAATAATTAAAAAAAAGACTAGTTTTTTGTGCACTCTTTGCAAAGCCGTGGCCTTGATTCCGTCAAAAGCAGATTACCACAGTTATATACAGCTGATAAAAACGCCTTATGATTTTTTGTATTCTTCAACAAATAAAATTTAGATGCTTTTAATTAATTTCATTAATAATGAAGTTTCCTGCCAAGGTTAGCTGAGAAAGGAGGCTTGAAAATACCCTACTTAAAACTTGCTGGTGGTTGATTTGACAGTTTCTGATTGCTCAGCAGGAGGAATGTCTTGTGATTTCGGTCTAAAAGTTCCCTTAGGAGTGGCACGCTTTTTTCCCCCTTCCACACAAAAGAAAGTAACAGACTTGATAAACCTGATATATGTCCTGAAGGCAATCTGTTGTTTTTCCAAACTGATTTTAATCTGTTCAAAGGTAGCCTCACTTATTTGACATGTTTGCAACAGCATCAGCATCCCTTCAAACAAAGGACTTCCCCTGTTCAAACTTTAACAAAAGGATGTTGGGAAAACCTACGTTTTGTTTACTGTATTGTAACATATCTCTATTGATTTTCTCATTAAAACCTTAAAGGCTTGATTTGGACTTGAGATAAATGGACTTATGTTCATTATAGGGGGGGTGCTTCTATTTGGTAGGGCTCAATTTTCCATTAGGCGTGGGAATGTTGCTGTCACTTACATCTATCCATAGCCGTCCACACGCTTTTGGTATATAGAAGCAATCCGGCAGTGGCTGAAAAATGTTTTTGTGATCAAACATTATTGACTCTCTCAGTCAATAACCTTGGCAACAGTAGATTCTCTCTCCAGCAAGAAGCACATGTCGCAAGGCGTGGGGAAAACACGGGGGCAGAGGAGGCTTTTTCCTCAGCTTTAGGTAGGGCTTTGTGTTAATGCAGACGATCTTGCGAGTAGACATTTCGTGCACTTTAGTGTGTCCAGTAATAAGAAAAACCGCTTCTCCGTTCGATCATTTTAAACGAGAGCAATGTCTTAAAATTCCCTCATCTCGCTGGTCGTTGATTAGATATTTTCCTGTTAAGTCTTTACCTCTACCGTAGCTGGTTTTCTTCCACCTCCACTCTGCACTCTTTACAATTCCAGTGGAATTAATCAGGCATGTTCGTGTGTGGCCAACTTCTTTATATTGTATTGAAGTTTACCCTCAGGTGTCGTCGAGGAAATGGCTTAGCCTGAAAGAAGCATTTCCCTTGTACACCATTATCTGACACCGGTTTTACACTTAGCCGCAGAAAAGATTATTCAAGATAAAAACAAATTCCATTTCACCCCCACAAAAATTTTATATCTGAATTTTTCTTCCAAAATATACATTTAATATTAAATGTCATCTTCCTCGGTCCCCACCTTTGTCATTCTGATTTAAGCCTCTTGCTTTATCTTGTGCCTTTTTTATCCCAGTAATGAGCCATTTTGCGGCTCTTAACATCTGCCAAAGTTGGACCATTTCTGCATGCGAGACTCATCTGTCATGCATGACGAGTCAGGCTTCGTTTTTTTGATTAGCCCTTTTTTCTTTTGCCTCTCTTCCAAACTGCTCACCGGTGTACTTTGTAGACCAACTACGCTGACAAACTTTTTTTTGTTTTCTTCCCCACGCTGCGGCCTTGAATGATGAAAGGTAACTTGGTGGTTATTCCGAACAGGGTGCTCATCTCGATATCGTTATTCCCTGCTTCCCGCAAAGACACCATGGGGGAGGAACATAGTAGGGGGCACTAATTGGAAACAGAAGTTTTCTGTAGGCACGGTGAGGTTCGCCTAAAAGAAAACACTCCTTTCAATTTCAGTGCCCTTGTATTCCAGCAGGAAACATCTGTGTTAGCATACAAAGCATCTGACTTTATTTTAGAATTTGAAGTGAACTTTGCCCTTGTCAAGAGTTTGAGTAGGTAACCTTGCCCCAGGAACCCCACATTGTATGCCTTTAAGTGCACACATGTGGTTAAATGACTCTTCTCATGAGGCAGTAAGCAGCAGTAGACAGAAGGAATTAAATGGGTTTGCAGGTGTAAAATAATTCACAATCAACAGACTTACCCCCTTTTTAAATTACCAGATTATCCCACCAGTGAACAGGTTTTTGTGTCGTTCGCATCGTAACTTTACTGCGTAAGAAACAAGATCTAAAGCCAGAATCTCACCTGGCTGTTGAAGACTAATTGTGGAAGACTTCTAAATGTAATTTTGCAAGAGTTCTTAATACCCTCATATGAGTCACATGGCCTCATCTTTGTGTCGATGGAATTTTTAATATTTCACATTTCCTATCATATTACTGAGTCATCAAATTTAGAACTTGTTTAGGCAAGGCAGCTTTATTTATATAGAACATTTCAGACACAGAAGTAATACGGTGTGCTTTCCAGAAGCAAGAACAGCTAGAACGAAACACTAAAATCAACGTGACTACACAAGACAACATATTTTTAATTCAAATTTAAATACACAGATAAACTTAAATGTAAAAATAAGACTGAAAGTCAAAGAATAGGCTACGGAAGTGGTATTACTGCACGTGTTTTAGGACATTTTTAGTGTCAAAGTTTTTAAAACATTTTTAGATTAAAAAAAATGCAACAGACAAAATTTTTGTGTCATGGCTACATATCAAAGAACAAAGTGATGCAAACAAACCACAAAAAGCTCTTTACTGTCAGCTGTGGTTCTTCTCATTCTTTTATGGTTTGTCCTGTTGGTTCCACAAAAATGGTAACGGTCAGTAGGTTGGGCAGTTGGATGAATGTAAATACATTTTACATCCAGAAGTCCAATAAAAGTACTCCAAAAATATTTCATCCACAGCAAATCTTGTGGTCACAATCCAACATCAAAGACTGCAGAAAACATAGAAAATTTCCCTCGGCTACCTCTCTCATAGCCTCCATTAGCATCAATAATGTCAGCTTGAAACTTTAGAGTGACATCTTCCCGGTCAACGTTGTTTATTCTATGAAACTTTATTTTTTTTTCTGCAGCACCTTCTGTTGCTTTCTGCCTTTCTACTTGAGGCACATGCACGGTAGTGGCCATCCGAGTAAGCTATCATGTCACCAGAAAAACAGAACATCATAGCGAGCCGGTAAAGTAGCTCAATAGTTTGGGCATGTACAGTGCAAACTCTGCAAAGCAGAACTCCCCTTTCACGGGAGTACAACGGTGATGCACAAACACCTTAAATAGGAAGCACGTTGTGGTGGAGGACGAAAAGGGACAATTGCCTCTGAAAGCTAATTCTTCTCGTTAGCTGCTAACATAAACAGGAGTTACTTGTATGGATAGCTGTAGCAACAGCTGTAGTGATGGCGATTTTATTAAGTGTCATATATTTGCTCTAATGTTATAAACGCCAATGATTTATTGTATTTCGCTGTGTTACAGTGTTTAAAGAAAGCACTCTTCAATTGACGATTTTGTTTAGATGGCACATAACAGATCACACTTCAAGCTAGAATCTAATGCTGGAGATATTAGAGCGGCTGCATCCTGGTGCTATAAGCTATGTACAACACAATTAGTCGACTTATCGCAAAAAAAACCTGGTGATTAGTCGACTATTAAAATAATAGTTTGTGGTGGCCCTTGCACTAATATATCACCCATGGTCATTTTTGTGACTGATGAATACTGTTTGAAACATTTTTATATATCGCCCAACCTTAACTCATTCGCTGCCAACCGTTTCCTGATAGGTACAGCCCTTCGCTGCCAGCGTTTCTCACCGTTTTTACTGTTTTTTAAAGAGTCACAGAACGTTGTGCGCTAGGATGATTTCGACACCAGAACAAAGCTGAGACTCACCTCTTGCATCAGGAAGAATCTGCGTGTTTCGAGCGTTATCCGTTCTTCCATAATCCGTTGTTGAATTGTAATCAGCAGAAGCTTTTCTTGTTCGCGCCTCACATTTTTTTACAGCAACGGCCCAAAACAATCTCCTAACACGTGGATTTTCTGCTTCCTGATCACGTGATGTATGCGGATGAAGATCGGCTTTAGAGCTGAAGTTTTTTCTCATGGTGCGGGGGCTCGTTCTGATGCCCCCACAGTAAATAAAGGCAATGGCAGTGAATGAGTTAACGAATGTCCCAACTGTTTTTGTGGTCCATTTTCCTTATCCTCCTCTGGTTCTAATGTCTATTCCACCATTGGTAGTGAGGGAATTAAAAGTAGCAACTTAGTAGATTTTGACGTAAAAAATGTTTTTCTTCATTAATAACACCTAGTTTATCAAGTTTTTGTAAAAAAATTAAATAAATGAAGTGAAATCAAACAACCCAGAGTCAACCTGGTGTGATTTGTTTATGTTAATGTACAATGCATCCTTCAGTACCTGTAATAATCAATAGTAGGTACTACAGAGTAAATAAAATGGTTATAGGGAGCCTAAGTCATACCCACTCTCGCTCTAATTTTGGACCATGGGCCCCTGGAAGAAAAAATAAATCCAAATCAATGGAGCTATAAAAGCTGTTTTCTAATTCCATTTGTTAGGTGCCATGGGTTTCACATATGATGTCTGAAATTTAAAGACACATTCTGATGCCAAGAAAGGACTTATCTTTGAATTGCGACAAAGGTTATTTTAGGTTCTGTGTGTAAAGATGTGTAGGACTTCAAATGCGTCCCACCAAACTGACGTCATTAAACCAGACTGATAATAAAATGGCTGTGAGTTTAGCTTCACCACTTAACTTTGTACCATTTCAAGCTATTCGTTGGAGTTAAAACACTGGAAAAATTGTGGCGTTCTAAAACATTTGACTGGTTGTGTGTGTGTGTGTGTGTGTGTGTGTGTGTGTGTGTGTGTGTGTGTGTGTGTGTGTGTGTGTGTGTGTGTGTGTGTGTGTGTGTGTGTGTGTGTTTATACACTCATACATTTTAGTGTTTTATCAGTTACAGCTCAGCTTGATAGTGGCATGAATTAGCTGTTAAAACGTAGGCTCAAGGATAGGTCACGCACAGCATTTTAGATATTTTTCAATGAAACTAGCCCTGTTCAAAAGCACCTCACAGCCTCGTTAATGGAAAGGGGTAAAAACATGACGTGTAAATGAACCCACCGTTTAATAAATAGAGTAAAGCTTCTTCTTTCACACATGCACTGCTTTCATTAATCACATGGCAATGAGTATCTTGGTGTAAAGTGTGAATTAAGCCTCAGGAACTTTCACTATGGTGTTTGTGACAGAACCAGCCTGTCTTCAAAATGACACAACTGGATTGTCACTTGAAATAATTATAAATAAGAAAGAAAACGGGATCAATGGTAACTTTTCGATATTGTAGTCTTGCACAAACCTTCAAAGAAATGTAAACAAGGTGAGAAGCCCTAATGATTTAATGTTGTTGCTTTAAAATCAATTTAAGTACATTTAAGGTTGTTTTTTTAAATACAAGTACCTGCTGATAGGTAATTGTGGTCTTTCCACTCTGTCTAGCTAGGTTTTAGCCATTAGCTTGGACATCCCATTAGTCTTGACGACCGGGTCTGGTTCAGGGCTTGTTCTCGTGTGCCTTTGCTGTTTTTCTTGCTTTCTTTCAGAAGAGGAGGCAAACAGCTTCCTGGCCCCACCGAGGTTGTGTTAGGTGCTCTTTGAGCCTTTCGTTCATCCTAGTTAAATGTCATATCTGCTCCTAAGATTTGGCAGTTACGTCTGCTGTGACTGCCTGAGTCAGAAGCTAAATGGCACTTGAATCGAGCTCTTATAACAGCAGGATATTCAGTTTTTCTCTAAAGCAGTCAGCTTTCTCCCTGCCTGTAGCAGAAGGCACACGCTTGCTTTTGACTCCTGTGGAAGTAGTTGTTTTTCCAGTGAGGGTGGGAGGGAGGGTTAACCAAAGACACCAGCCTGCCATAAATATAAATATATGTTTATGTATTTTTTAAAAGCTGTTCAGTTATTTTTGTCAACACTTTTTTTATGTTCTCATACAGAATAGGCTCATTTATCTCTGGTGCCGTTTAGCCGAAGTCAGCCCGATGTGGACAAAGACATTTTGATCTCGATAAAATGCTGCCTCAGGCCAAGTATAAATATTTTCTTTATTTGGACAATATTCTCTAAAGAATTTATTCATAATGGACTAAAATTGCACTCAATGTTTTCTATTAAAAGGATTACTTCAATTAATAATAAACCATGACCTATATTTTTAGAAAGTAGATCTTTTTTCCCTTTCATTTTAAATTTAAAAATATTTTTTCTATCTAGGAGTACTTATTTAAAACTTCACTCTATAATCCCAGCGAGAATAGAAAAATATGAGTCATATTACTCATTTGCCCTTAAAAAGGTGGCTGTTTGTTGTTCTCGTGGTTTAGATTTAATCTATTCCTGCATTAGTTTTTCAGCCTGATCTGATCAAGATGATGTCATACTGAGATAACAGGCAAAAGCAGGTGTGTTTGGCTCTAATCAGATACTTTACAGAACAGAACTGCTGCTCTCATGGCTGAATCTTAGCTCTGGTGCTTTTACACGTCTCTCACACACACACACACTTCAATCTGAAATCCAAAGAGCCCATCGACACAAACACCATTAACACTGGTTAGCTATGCCCTCTCCAGTCAGATGCATTAATAGGCATGTCCTAATGAGCCCTCATTGGTTAATTGTCCTTCTTAAAGCTCCGTAAAAGAACTTGCTCAAAAATTGATTAAGGTTTATCGTGAGCTGTTCTTGTTGGGCTTCACTCCTCTGCCAACATCAGTGTGCTAAGCACAGGTACTCAGATCCCTTCCCCCCTCAATCACAAACGTTATTTTAGTGACACCAGCCATTTTCAAAGAAGCAACATTAAAGCACGATTAAAAGGCAGCGAGGCAACTCTGATCAAAGGTTAAATTTTGCGTGGCCTGACCGGCTTCACAATGCAAAGTGAGATTCCTGAGTTCAGCGTAAGTGTCGAGGCAAGCAGACGTAAAGTTATTTCGCCGTGCGCCCCGAGGACAAATGATGGATTCTTGTGTTTCTGCAGAGTTAGGTCCTCTGAGGAATCCGCCTCGGTGTGCTGCATTTAATTTAGCTGGTGAAAGGGTGTTGTCTGGTTCCTCCTTTATCTGATCACTGTCACTTTACTTTCCGGTTTTCCTGAGTTGTCTTTATTTGTCTTCTGCTGGAATATCCAGGAAATGGTCTCACAACGAGCGCTCTAACAGCACAGGCAGGTTTATTGCTTCGGCTGTGGGCCAACTCGTTTTGTCTCGGAAAGTAATGAAATCTCTCAAATGGCCGACGCAATTCAAATTTGTGAGACAATTTTATATGCCACAGAAGGGCCTTTTTTATTTTATTCGATGTATCACATTTTAGGAATTGGATGAGGAAAAATGAAATAACCATTTTTCAAATTGTTATCTGCGACCAAAGGGTCGATGCTGGATTTATGAAATATAGTTCTTTTTAATTTTGCCACAGGATTTGGAGTCATCCTTGTTCTCTTTCTGCTTAATTTCAGGACTTCTTGCTCAGGTTTTGGCCTTCACACCCAGAAGAGAGGACATGACGCACTGGCCGCTGCCAAAGACTGGCAGAGGGCAGCTGTGCCAACTGCTTTCCTTCCTGCTGCTTTAGAAGTTCCCCTTCTGCACCATGACGGAGAGGCATTGGGGTTAACTCACTGACGTTTAACACAATACCTCCCCTCTTCCCCAACCCCTGCCCGTTCCCATCATGCTGTGCTTCTTGCCTCTCAAACTTGGCCGCCTATATCGCTGTCTGAAACTCCTGTTGGTGCTGGGATTGTTTGTTGTCCTTTTGATGAACACCCACAACCTGTTCGCCTCCTTCCAGAAGAATGAGCTCACCGACAGGCGATTCATCAACCTCAACAAGTGTCCCGCCTGCTTTGGCACCAGCTGGTGCCGCAAGTTTATGAATGGCCAGGTTTCCTTTGAGACATGGGGTCGCCTGCGATTTCTAGATGTGTTCAATGTGAAGAACGTGTTCTTTGCGCAGTATGGGGAGCCCAGGGAAGGCACCCGACGGGTGGTTCTCAAACGGCTCGGCTCCAACCAGGAGCTGGCCGAGATTGACCAGAAAATCTGCAAAAGAGCCACGGGCAGGCCGCGCTGTGACCTCATCCAGGCCATGTACAAGACTGAATTTGCACGAATCAACGGGGACGTTCGCCTGCTCACCCCAGATGTGGTGGAGGGCTGGTCAGACCTGGTGCACTGCCCCTCACAGAGGCTGCTGGACCGTGTGGTCCGAAGGTATGCGGAGACCAAGGACTCTGGTAGCTTCCTGCTAAAGAACCTGAAGGACACAGAAAGAATGCAGCTGCTTATGACACTGGCATTCAACCCTGAGCCTCTTGTACTACAGGTATGGTGTTCATTACTCTTTCATTATTATTTAGTAAGTTTACACAGTTTAAAGCCTATTGCATTTTCTCTCAAAGTATTCAGAAGTACAGAAGTTGAATCAAATAAATGAGCACCCCTTAGTGGCTGGTTTCAGTGTACATTATGTCACATTACATGTCGTTATCACATGTGTAATATCTGCTTTGTGTCTGCATCAATGAAGTTGCTGAGGTTAGAGTTGGAATCGTTTCAGCTTATGGGTATATTATGTTGTCAAGGTTTTGAAATAACATTTAGGGTGATGGTAGCAGTGGAGTTTTGTGCCTGCCCCATAACCGGAGGGCTACGGTGCAGCTGCAGCTCCCTTGTAGCTCATCACCACTAGCGTGTGTGTGAGAGAATGACTGGTTGTGTTGTAAAGGACCTTGGGGAGTTGTTGAACCCCAGAAGACGCTATATCAAAAGCAGGCCATTTACCACATAGCCATAAAAACTAATTTTGACGCAAAAGTATGAACTAATTGTTTTAAGCATTTCCATATACAGTATACACTGTTCATGTGTGCATTAATCATCAATGGTGTAGGGCTCATCACTCATCATGAAGATCTTGAATGCTTAACTTTGATTTAGGTAAAAGTAAGAATGTTCACACTTGGTGTATGGAACTAAGATGTATTTGTGTTCATTGGGGCTTCTGTGATTGGGGCAGAGTAACTATTTTATTTTCAATAATAATTTTACAGATTTAACCAAATATTAGTTGTAACTTCAAAAAGTCAAGATCAATTAAATGTTTGATTAGTTTTTTGTATAGATCAGATATAAGATGCATTAGATTAAAACTAACTATTGCAATAATAGTAATGTAAGGAAATTGTAAAAAGTTTTCACTGATATCTAATAAATTACTAAACATCAGCAGAAACTGATCTATCTAGGTTTTGTATTGGCCCTTTTCCACTAGCACCTTCTTCGATGCTCGTATTGATTTGACTCAATAACGTTCAGGTGGCTGTAGGGTTGTCACGGTAACCGCTGTAGCGGTAAACCCGAGTAAAAAAGTTGACAATAATAATAACTCTTGTTTTTAAAAAAATATATTATCTCGGTGGATTACTGTGGCTGCGGTGTAGGCGCGGTGACCCTTACCAGCCACCGTATCTGCTGAAGTTGCTGGCGGCACATGCGCACTTTGTTGTTTACAACCAAAACTTTCTTGAAGCTAAAGCTGAAATAATGGCCAAAGGAGGAGACAAAGTCGGACGTATGGGCATTTTTTGGATATTTGAAGAATGCCGAGGGACAGTTGATAGAAGACGGCTATCCTGTTTGCAGCACGTGCAGAAAAAGTGTCTGTGAAAGGCAGCAACGCTTCAAATCTCATGACACATCTGCGTGACCATCACCCACAACTCTATAGTCAACGCAAGGCAAGCTAACGTTAGCGTTTTAGCTAAAATGCGTGATCCGAGGATTTGGGTTGAGGGAGAAGGCAACGAGTTGCTATATAAAGCAGCCGCAGCGCCGCTACCTGCATATAAACCGTGTCGCGGACACCGCCATATTGAAATGACGCTATGCATTACGGGGCTCCCAGGAGCAGATACGAGTTGGTCTCTCCGAGAATAATTATGAATTTAACAAAGATTACTGCCTGATGACATTTTCCCACATCTGCAAAGCTCACTGGAAGGACACAAACCGAGGACAATATTTTCCTGATATAGGGTTTATTACTCAAGTAAGGGTTAAAAAAAGTATCTGATTACAAGGCTACTTGAGTACTGAGTATCATCATAATATTTTTTAAATGATGACATCAAACAGACATAAAATAAGAAGTTATGGGCAAATATTGGTATTTTAAAGACTAAAGGGGGAAAATGTAAAAAAATAAACAACATAATTACAAAATAACAGATTTTAGGCAAAATTTAAACACAAGCTGAGGACAATATTTTCCTGATACACAGGGTTTATTTAGTTGTCTGAAAATGTAACACGCTTAAAAAAAAATACAGCGATAATATTGAAAACCGTGAAAATTTTGGTCACAATAACCGTGAGGAAACAAAACATTTTCACACTGTGACAACCCTAGATGGTTGTGAGCAGCTCCCGGAGTTTGAAAAGTAGCACGAGGTGACCTTAAGGCTACACGAAAAAGGCAATACAATGCATCAATGGCGGACATTAGTGATATTGAGCATTTTATGTAGTTGGTGGATTTTTGAATCATCAGTGACTCCACCCCTATCCAATCAGTAAATGGCCTGTAATTGTATAGCACCTTCTTACCCTACTACAATCCCCCCAAGGTGCCTCACAAGACAATCAGCCATTCACCCATTCACATACAGTTGGGGATGAGCTACAATGTAGCCACAGCTGCCCCGAGGTGCACTGACCGAGGCGGGGCCTGCTGAACACTGGCACCACCAGTCCCCCCGACCACCCACCAGCAGGCAGGGCAGGTTAAGAGTGTCGCTCAACAACACAACAGCATTCTCTGGTCAGAGCCGGGATCAAACCTGCAACCTTCAGATTACTGAACAACCTGCTCTTCCTCCTAGGCTACTGCTGTAACCAACAGTCTCTAATGTCACATTCTTAGCCCAGTTCCATACCCTTGGTATGAAGCAGGTACTAAAAAAGGGATGTCAACCTGGTACCCATTACTAGGGAAGTGCCTTGGAACCGTCCTGAACCGAGTTGGGCAGTGCTAAGTAGGTACTTTTGGAAAAGTGAAATTACAAGTTACATTTTGAGCAACCTAGTTTTTTTTTTTTTTGACTAGTTTTAGGTTTTAAAATTTTCTTTAAATTTTAATAACAAAACAAGTTAAAAATACAGACTAACTTTACATATGTTGACTTTTACTCTTTTAGTCTATTTGAATGTTGCAGTCAGCCAATGTGAGGCAGCAAGTGCATTCCTGGCTCTTGCTAAAACATGGTTCTGGATAACTTTTGGAGGATCAGAGCAAAGTAAGCCTGGGTGTTGGCCCACAAAAGTAAATTATAGGGCGGAGATCCCCATTTCCCTTCCTTTTCTATAGATCTGAGACAAGCCATTACACCCAGCTACATCCAGACTGAACGCCTGGAGACTGGAATATCTGGAGCACGAATATTCCTCTGCTTAGAATGGAGATAAGTTTAGAAGCTGTGGCCTCTGAAAAAAAATGAGATTTTGGCTGGTGGCAATGCTGCATATTTAACACTAAATGTAGGGCAGTTCTGAATTATTCAAGGAAGCATTTGTAAATGGTCCAAGTTTTTAATTTTAATGTACACCTGTGTCATCTGGACTCCTGTCAATTGTGGGTGACAAGTGAGGAAATCTCTGAAGGGAATCTCTAAGAGGGATCAGTGGCAGTATTCTTGATCCGTCATTAATCTTCTATAAGACTTCTTTTCCTCAAATTTTCTGTCAGTATCAAGTTTTACAGTACAAACGATGGAATGAAATGGAGTAGAAACTTGCAAATTGAATGAGCTAACAAACTGCCAAATGCCGTTTTGCTTCTACGGCAAGTCTAATCACTTGCAACAATATGGGAAAATCTTTAATTCCATGTATGTTTAAATAAAATTCATGCTTGTTTAAATCATATTTGACAGTATATTAGGAGTAAAATCATGGACTGTCATCCTGGGTGTCAGAGCAGCCGTTATAAACGCAGTCTACATCCCTTTCCCTCACTGATTTACGGGGCAGCCAATCAATTTCAATTTCAATCTGACATTGACCGTGTCTCGTGAGAGGACGGAACAACAATGGTCTTTGCCCATGTAGACATTCAATAATGTGTGTTGACCCCCTCCCCTTACACACAGGACCACACACCTCCAGGCATTTTGGAGGACAAAAGGCGACTTTTTAGTCTGGTCAATCTATAAAATCTGATTAGCCTTTTGTGCTCGCTCGCTGTCCCCCTTTCCTTCCTTTCTCCATCTTTTTTTCTCCCCCGTCTCCCTGCTTGCTTCTCTGTTCCGCTCGTGTACCCTCCACAGATAACGCCATCAGTGTTTTTTTAATGCCATTATGCATCAGTCCAGAGGCTCGGTGAACACCCCCCCCCCCCCCCCCCCATCCTTATCCTGCGCACGGCTTCAGACATCTCACAGCAACACATCATGCACACACATTGTCCACAGCTCTCTTCTCTCAGCTATCTGTAGCCTTTGCATGTTTACAGGGACTCATGAATTGTTTATCTTGTGCAAAACTTGTGACCCGTGGGAGTAACACGTGTGGGTTGTGTGGTTGGATAGAATGCAAAGAGGCTTGCCGGGCCTCTCGGAGAATCACACATCCCGACTACCTTGACTGCTTGTCGGCACCACTGAACTCAAAAGATGAGAAAATTTGCTGAGAGACTGGGAGACTCTATACACAAGGTTGAGCAGCAGTAGACCATAAAGAATTAATGGCATCTACAGAGATTGAATAGGAGACGTGCCGCACTACAGCACCTTGGTCTCCTTGTTGCCGAAGGTTAGGCTGTGGTCTGTGATTGATTTTTGTTTTTTACAAAACGTTTTTGGAATGCAGGCTGTTTCAAAAGCTGCTATTAAACGCAACCTGATCCATATTTCTGTTGCTTATTCCTGTCGAGGCTTAATTTTATATAATGTTATAAGTTTGATGTGGCCTCTTTCGCTTCTTAATTATTTAAATAAATAATTGTCAGATTTTATTTAATCTGTAAAGTAAGTATAAAGATCCTCACTGTTGGACAGATATTATTACAAGTCTAGTAGAAACAAAGCCAGGTCACCATCAATCTGTAATTCTGTAGCCTCTGTAGCAGACGTTACTCTCTCACTTTTACATCCAGGCTCCGCTATGATGCCAGCAGAAAAAAAACCTTTCTTTTCTTTTTTTCTTCTTGTGCTTTTTATTAACAATTGGCAAACTGAAAATGCTAACTGCTAGCATTACAGCTAACAGCCGTAAAGCAATTAAAGAGCACCCAGGACACGTACCTGCTCCACACAGCTAACAAGTGCG